TGGGATTTGGAAGCTTTGCGTTTCCCCTCCAGTCTCTTCCTGAGAACCGAGCAGAGGTTGGAGGGAGGGTGGGAGTGACGTGGTGGCTGTGCCCAAAACAAAGAGTCATTCTAATTTTAGAGTCTTAATGGTGCCCGTTGAGGCACACACAGAAGGGGTGGAGTTCTGGCTGCTCTGAGCTGAAAGTCTTCCTAAAATAAAAGGAAGGTCTGGATGACCCGTGATGTTTCTGGTTCATATGTGAGGTGTGTACATTTCTTCTCAGGCAAAATATGAGAAACCTTGCGTATATAAAAAAAAGATGACACGGGAGCTCTGCATGCAGTTGGGGAGGGGCCCAGGGCAGAGGATGGCTGCTCCCCAGGGCTGAGAGGCCCCCGAGGGCACCGGGCTGGCAGCAGGAGCCCTCCTCTCCCTCTCTGTCTCTTCTCTGCCTCCATCTCTCTCTCTCTGCCGGCAGTGACTCAGGATCTCCAGGGCCTGAGATGTCTGTCCGAGCTGCAGAGGTGCCAGTCTGAGGGGCAGGCTAAGGATTCATCTGCTTCTTAGCAGGAAGGGCTGAGAGGACACAGGACCCACCCCTCGTCCATCAGGGATGATGAGGGCAGATGGGGGAGTTCCGGGTGCCTCTCCACAGCCAAATATTAGAGACCCTGTGATTATTTTCTGCTAAAACCAGGGCACGCTGCCAGAGAAGGCGACGAGCTGCTCTACATGGGACTCCAATTCACTTCTAGGATGCTTTACCCTTTGGGGCAGAGCCATCTGCTTCTGTGCATGGCTTGGATCCAACTTACCAACACTGATAACTTTTTGTGCCTATGAGAGGGACAGGTGTCATCGCCAGCCCCTCACATCTGCAGACGTGCTCCCCATCCTGTGTCCACTCTGTGCTGGGGAAGGGGAAGGAGGCTGGAGGCTGAGGGAGTGCCCAGGATGCAGACGCAGTGCAGTGTGCGTCTGGGAAAAGCCTGGAATGCGGGGCAGCTGCGGGCACAGGGTAAGGGTTACTCACCAGTCCTGAAGAGGAGCGGCGGCTGCAGCCCCACCTATGCCAGAAGACCCTCTCCGCCTGTCCGATGCCCCCCCATGCCCATTCACCTCCAGAGCACATTTCCAGGAAGTGCCCTGTTCTGGATGTCACCATCACCCAAGCTGGGGGCACCTCACAAGCCTGCTGGTCGTGGGTTGCTGTCTCTCTGCAGGTGTCCCAGGCCCAGGGCCAGGGGCTGGTCAGGCAGTGCTGCATGTGGGCGCTGCCTCTTCAGCAGGAGGACAGGGGAGAGGGCGTGAGGGGACCCCCGAGCTGCTCCACCTAATCAAAGTACAAACACCACAGCACCAGGTAAGTTGGGTCAGGTGCATTTATGATGAGGCTGATATAAAAAGGAGGAAATGGAAGTGGGAAGTATTTTTAGTTCCTGTATTTCCTTACTGGGTGCAGGGGCAGCTGGCACAGGGACTGGCTTCTCCGCCTCTGATTTCCACTCCAGCACTTTGGCTATCAGGGGGTGCTCTGTGAGCTCAGCTGAGCCAGCCCTGCCCTCCCGCCAGCAGCTTTTGGTGGAGGTTGGCAGCAGTCCTTGTACAGGGCAGAAGCCTGGGGAGGAAGGGGCTGGGTGCTGCCGGTCCCTTGGAAGAGGGACTTCTGCCCCTGTGCTTTGTGAAGAGGATATGAGAGCCAAGAGGTAACCTTGTGTTCTAGAGTTGTAGGCTGAGGTAAGGGTGGTCCCATGGCAATGTGAATTCTCTGAGGAGAGGCTCAGCCTGGGTGTAGTACTGCTGAAGGCCACAGAGGCCACAAACTCTGCCCAGACTCCCAACATGCCTCCACAGCAGGGGTAAGGAGGCTTGCAGCTGTAAGTGCTGGTGGTGTGTGGAAGGGCTCAGCTTCTCCAGGGCTCCTGCGGAGGCCTAAACATCACGCAGGATTTTGACGTTAATTACCACTGTGACTGCTTTCTGTGTGTAACTGTTTTCCCCGAACTCTAGCCATCTAAAGTGGAGCTACAGAAGGCCCCCGCCCCTACCCCTGCAGATGTCCCAGCCCCTGACAAGGCCTGGCGCTTGGAGATTTCCTGGGGCTGGATCTGACATCATTCCAAACAGATTTTAACCTCCCTCCCCGATTTCCATACCCACAACAAGACGCCCTAGAGTTATTTATAAATGTTGGACCCCGGGTGCCCTTCTGCCAGGACCAGCACCCCGACAGGCATTCTGAACTCAGGAGGGCAGGAAGCTCTGGACCTGGAGGCTGGGCACCAGGAGGGGAGGCCCAGCTGCTGCGGCCTGGGGCGGGGCTGCCCCCAGGCTCCCAGAGAGCCCAGAACAAGGCCTGATCAGCTTGCGTGTCAAGGGGCGGGGCCGTGAGAGATGAGCTGCTTTTTTCTTCACAGGGTTGGCAGGAACTGGAAATAATAGAAAGTAGTTAGGGTCCAACACGCTGCCCTGAAAATACTATCATTACTTTCCTAATGACTAACTGTGTCTTTCAGCTGGCGGGGCAGGCAGCTGAGGCCGCGGGCTCCCGCAGAGGACCGCGACGTGGGAGGCTGGCAGCCTGCAATCTGGGGGCACTGACAGCACTCTGCCCAGAGCCCCGCGCCAGCTCCAGCCTCCAGCACGGCGTCCCTGGGTCCCTCCGGGCCTCTGCCCACAGAGTCAAGGTGGGGCTGAGGCAGCCCCGGGCTCTGGGCCTCCCTCCGGCCCGGGTCCTCTGGGATGGGGGGACACTATCCCTCCTCCTCCGTTTTTAGAAACAGAGACAGAGTCTCACGATGTTTCCCAGGCAGGTCTCTAACTACTGAGCTCAAGCGATCCTCCTGCCTTGGCCTCCCAAAGCGCTGGGATTAAGGCGAGAGCCACGGTGCCCTGCCTCACCATCCCTTCTGGTTAATTTCCAGCAAGATCCTGGCCACAGCGTCCTCCCCCTGCATTCCCACTGTCTCGGCCTCCAATCCCTCCTTCATCCTCCTTCCACCCCAACTGCCAGGCCTGTCCAAAGCACGGGCTCGCCAAGCGCGCCCCCCATTGCGCTCCACACTGGCCCGCGGGGCGTCCCCATTCCCGAGTGGGGTGTGGCCCCGACCTCCCTTCTCTGCGGACTCAGCCTTTGTAGCTCGAGGACGTTCACGCCAGCCAAGGCTTTTTTTTTTTTTTTTTTCTATTTTAAGGTTGTCTTTAAATGACAGAAGCGACATTTGGAGACCAAAGGACACCTCTCTTCCCGACCCACCTCCAACCCCAGCTGACGGCCGCCCTGCGCGTGGCGTGGACGGCCCAGAACGTTCCCCGGGTGGGTTCTGTCCATCGGAAGCCCTGTCTCCGCGCCGGCTCGGGGGCGCCCGGGGGGCCTGTGACGCCGCCTCGGGAGGACATCCCGGCGGCCCGGCTACCCCTGGCGCACGCGGGAGGCGGGAGGAGGGCGGGCCCCGGGTTTTGGGGCGTGATTCCCGTCTGTAGAGGACGGTCCGAGGCGAGCCGCCGGGGCCCTGGGGTGCGCGAGGACTTTTCTCCGGCTGCCGTCCCACCTCCCCCCGCACCCCCCGATCCCCACAGACACCCGGAGGCGCCTCCCAACCCGGCGAGGGTCCAGGGGAAGCGGGACCAGGGCGCGGCGACTGGGATGCGTCGAGCAGCGCTCTCGCTGGGGGCGTCCGGCTGCCCTCGCCCAAGGCCGCGGCGGGCGCTCAGCGCCGCGGAGGAAACGCTCCGGCGAGGACGCACCGCGAGGCAGACTCCACGGGAAGGACGCGGAAAACCGCGCGGAGCACAGCGGCCCGAAGCCAGCCCCGGGGAAGGGCGGCCTCGCCCTGCAGCCCACGGGGCCCCGAATGCCCCGCCCCAGGCCAGGGCAGGCGGGACGCCGGGCGGGCAGGCGGAGGGGACGGGGCCCGGGGCCAGAGCGGGGCGGGCGGCTCCTGGGCCCCGCCGGGGAGGACCCACCCTTCACTGGCCGCTCGGGGCCCCTGCCCTAGCCTCGGGGCCGGCGCGAAGCCCGCAGAGAACGGGAAGCGGGTGCCACCCAGGGGCCCTCGGGGCCGCGGCTTGGCCCCAGAGTTCAGCCTCCACTCGTGTCCCGTCCCGTCCCAGCCGGGCCGCCCCGCCCACCACGGGCCGCGCCGCCCATCACGGGCCGCCGCCCCGCCCAAGTCCCCGCCCACCACGGGCCGTCCCCCCCCAAGTCCCCGCCCACCACGGGCCCGCCCTGACTAACCAAGGCCAAACTCACCGCAGGCCCGCCCCGCCCATCACGGGCCCGCCCCGCCCATCCGCCTTTCGCCCACAATGGGCCCGCCCCGCCCACCACAGAGCCGCCCCGCCCACCAAGTCCCCGCCCTCCGCAAGACATCCGCGACCCCGCCCACCACAGACCCGCCCCCGGCCTGGGCCCCGCCCAGTCAAGGGCCTGAATTCCCCAACCCCGAGCCCCCCGCTCACTGCTCTTGCCCGTCTTCCAACCGCCCCGACTTAGGCGTAGCCCCGGCCAGGCTTCCCGAACTTAGCCCCGCCCCTGCCCCTCCGCTGCCCCACCCCAAATGATGTCCCGCCCCGCCCCGCCCACGGCCCGTCCCCGCCCCGCCTCACTCCATTAGGGCTCCGCCCCGATTCTTGACCCACCCACTAAATGCCCCGCCCACGACGAGTAACCAGTCCTTTCGAGGCCCCGCCTCCTCCCCCCCCGGGCAATGGTCTGCCCCGCCCCCGCACGTCATTGGGCCTGGTTCCCCCCGCCTCCCGCAGCCCCGCCCCCGCCCCTTTGACTCGAGTTGGCTTTTTCCAGAGAACTTCCCGGTCTCGGATTGGCCTCGCCGGTCGATGTTCCGCCGTGTGATTGGCCCGCGGCGCCCACTTTCGCGAGCCTGCCCTTAGGCGGGGGCGGGGCCCGCGGTGCGCGCGGCGCGAGATTGGTCAGTGGCGCAGAGGGGCGGGCCCGCGCCGCGCGCAGCGCTCGGGCTGGAGCGCCTGTAGCCGCGACCGCCGCCTCAGCCGCCTCAGCCGCCTCAGCCGCGGTCGCCGCCGCCTCGGCCGACTTAGGATCCGCCGCCGCCTCTCCGCCCGCCTCGTCCGGACCCCGCCCGGGCCGCCCGGCCTCTCCCCGCCGACCCACGGTCTCGCCGTTCGGCGCAGGGCAGGTGAGTGAGCGGTGGCGGGCGGGGTCGGGGACCGAGCCCCCGACGGAGGCCGTGACGGGGCGGCCCGGGACCGCGGCAAACTTCGCCCGAGCCGCGGCGGGCGGGGGTCCCGGGCTGGGTCGCGCCGTCCCCGACCGCCGCTGGCGCCTGCGGCGGCCCGGGACGGCGAGTGGACCCGCGCTCCCTCGAGGTGCGGCCGTCAGGCCGGGCCCCCCAGCCTCCGCCCGCTCCCCAAATTCGGAAGTTGCCGCGGGAAGCCGAGAGCGCCTCGGCCGCCGGTCAGAAAACGCCTGCACTTCTGGAGGCTTCGGTTTCTCCTCCTGACGGAGAAGAGGTCTGGGCACCCCCCGGAGCGGCCGCGGCGGACTGGAGCGCGGCGGCGCGCGGCGCGGGGCCTCCTCCCCCTGGACGGCCGCCGGGAGAGCGCGGCCTCGCCCCTCGCTGACCCTGCGGAGAGCCGCGCGCGGGCGCCGGGGCGCGCGCGGGTCCCTCTTGTCGGTCGCTGTGGTTTGTTTTAATTCTGGGGGGTGCTTAGAACGGGTTTCTTATTGTTCCCACACGTGTTCTAGTTGGAAGTCTTGTTTCGTGAAAGAGTTCATTTTTTCTTTTTGCGTGGTGTTGCTTTCCATTTTCCCCCTACTCCGAATTTTGTTTCTGGCAAAAGAAATTTGAAAGTTAACCAAGGGTCAGGTCCTAAATCTCGTGGCCAGGCGTTGGCTATCTTCTATCGTCCTTCAAAGCAGCCTGGATTTGCAGGTCTCGTTAGCCCTCCAGTGAGCCAGTAGCGCTCTGGGTTGATGAGCGTTTGTAGAGTGGGGTTCACCGGAAGGAATCTTGGGCAGTAGGGCCTTGCGGAGAGGCTTTTAGAGATTTCACTGGGTAACTTACAGAGTCCCCGTTTCAAAAATATTTCTCTGGCACAGGCCCTCACACATCCCTCTGAAATTGAACTCCCTTTCAGGGGAAAACTGTTGCCCTTTTTTTCTTTTCTTTGGACTTTTCTCAGATGTGGATCCCAAAGGAATGTGCAAGAGTGCTTTCCTATTTAAAAGAAGTAACTCCCAGTCTCGTCATATTCAAGAACAATTCATCATCTTAAAGCATGTCAGAGATACCTATTTTGGCCCAAAGAGGGGTGTTTGTAGAACAATGGCACTCTGGAGGGATCAATGATAAGATCTGAAAAGTCCTTGTCAGATCTTGAGAATCAATGGGGCCATTGATTCTCACATGAGAAAAGCTGAAGTAGTTCTGGTGTTTTCAGACGTGGAGATCTGTCAGAAAACATGGGGCCTTTAAACACAAGTGCAGTGACCGACTAACTGATGTCTTTCACTTTCGAGCAGTATAATTTTTTTCACTTGTACGTAGATGCTGTTGTTTATACAGTGCGAGTTCATTACAAATGTTTTAGAACTTACGTAGCTTCACGTATTTTCTTAGTTGATACTCAATATAAGGTTTTGGAAAGGTTTTGATGGTAAATGGCGTCTTTATAACTGAAAAAAAGGACACTCTAGAATTGAGGGCTTTTTGTCTGGTATTGCCACAGGTGCTGCTGGTTAGTGGTGATATTGTACCTCAAAACGTCACTTTCCCAGATATCTTTATAACACTCACGGTACGGGAAAATTCCTTTTTATGTTTACATTTTTAGCTATTTATGAGAAAAAATTCAACACATGGGTGTATTTTGTTAGCTGTTTTGAAGAAGCTATCCTTTATTGTTCTGAGGGAGTCTGAGAGCATGCTGCATTTATAAATTTGAAAAAGTCTCATGAGCTTCTTGAACCAATATAGCCATTCAAACTTGGATTCTGTGTATCAGTTTTGATTATTTCAGTTCCTGTGTCAATGGCAGAATCATCTCTATTTTTACAAATGTCCCAGGGCTTTACTGTAAAGGTGATCACAGAAGCAGATTTTGGTACATGTAAGTTGTATATCCTGTCAGTGAAGAAGGCTGATGCTTTGTGCCATAACCAAGGAAAATACTTGCTCATGTTGGAATTACCCCAACTTGAACATTAGAATAAATGCTGTAGATTTTTGGGGCAGCTCTGATATCTCAGCTGTCATCCCTGGTAGCAATGACTCCCAATAGTCAAGGCGTCATTGGTCCGCTGTCCATGGTGCTGAAGCCATGTCTCCTGTTTCTGTGTGTGTTTTGTCTTTGTTGTTGTTGTTGTTGTTGTGTGTGTGTGTGTGTGTGTTTGCCTCAGGCTTCCTTTCCAGTATACTTTAAAATTATTTTCAAAATTCATATTATTGAATACAATTTGATCAGAGAAATTCTGTTGAACTGAAATTTACACTTAAGCCATTGTATTCTTTTTCTTTTTTCTTTTCTTTTTTTTTTTTTGAGGATAATTGTGTTACAACATTACGTTTCTTTTTGCCTAGTCTTTTATATGGTCATCAAGTAACAAATCACTGAAATTAAGTGAAACCCTGTTTTCTTAACAACCATTTTTTAAAGAAAGTACCAATTTGTTTTAGTCTGTTTTCTTTTGCTTATAACAGAATACCTGGAACTGGGTAATTTACAAATAAAAGGAATTTATTTCATATAGTCATGGAGGCTGAGAAGTCTAGGATCCAGGGGCAAAGCCACCAGCTCTACTCCCATGACAACTCACTAATCCATTAACCCATTAACCCATGAATGGATTAATCCATTTTATGAGGACAGAGTCCTCTTGATCCAATCACCTCTTAAAGGCCCCACCTCTCAATACTGCTACATTGAGGATTATGTTTCAACATGAGTTTTGGAAGGGATATTTCAACCACAGCACCTTTATTACAATATAGACATACATCTGTAGGCATATATCTACGTAGGGGCAGCTTGTCCCCAAAAGGGTTGACTGTAGCATGTTTTGCATTCTCCAGCATGCTGGTTCTCAGCCTTTCCTGAAGAAGGGGTCTGTGTATGTGTTGGGCGATTGAGCGGTTGCCAGGCATTCCTGTTGTGTTAGAGCAATATCTACTCTTTTCTCTAATATTGAGGACATGCTTCTAAATCATTTTAGATGAAACTTTTTTTTCTCTTGAGGTTTTGTCAGTTACTTTAGAATTGACCCACAGGTTAGCAATAAAAGAAAAAGATAGGTGTCACTTGTGGTGCAGAGATTCTTGCACATGGTAGTAAATTATATATCAAGCTAAGCAGTGGATGTTGAGGTGCTTTTTGTTGTGATCATCTGAACTGATTCTTTGTCCCCATTTGCTGTACACATAACCCAGGTTACTCTTTGACATCTCTTCCATTGATGGAAACTTAGGAAAGCTTCCTTCTGCCTCATCCAAGCTTCAGCAATACTCCCTGATTGTCTACTCTTTGCCATTTCCTCTACTATGAACTGGGAACCCACAGACAAATGAGACCGAGTTCTTATTGAAGAGCTCACCAGTTCAGGTTGAGGAAGGAACACGTAAACATGTAATGACAGGAGGCCATACTCAGTGCTGCAGTTCAGATACATAGAAAGCCAGGCAAATGTGTTGAGGGGTGATTCATTTTGGCTGAGAATCAGGGAAAGCTTTAGAGAAGCGGTGGCCTTTGGGCTGGGCCCTAGAGCCTGAATTGTAATTGGGCATGGATTCGGTGTACAATTATTAGAAAAAGCCTGGAAGGTTGGAATAACCAGAGTACAGAGTATGTAGTGGTGTGGAGGCCGGAGGTATGGGGAGGCATAGTGAAGGAGTTGGGACCCTGCTAGAAGTGTTAGGGGCATTGTGAAATGGTTGGAACTCTGTTGGAGATGGATTGGGGTAAGAGTGGAGGCGGGGTTGCATGGTAGGTGGAATAATGGCTCATAAAGCTGTCCACATCCTAATCTCAGGACTGTATTATGTTACATGGCAGGGGAGTTAAGGCAGCAGATGGAATGAGGTTGCTAATCAGCTCCTCTGAAAATAGGGAGATTATCCTGGATTATCTGGGTGGGCTTAGAGTAATCACAAGTGTTCTTAAAAGTGGAAGAGAGAGGCAGAATAGTCAATGTCAGAGTAATATGAGATGAGGAAGACTCCAGCTGCCATTGATGGCTTTGAAGATGGAAGGGTGCACTAGTCAAGGAATGTGGGAAGCCTTTGGAAAAGGCAATAAAAGGGATTCTCCCATAGAGACTTTGGAAAGGAATGCAGTCCTTGATTCTAGCCCAGTGAGAACTGTGTCTGACTTGTCCAGAACTGTAAAATAAATGTTTGTCGTATTTAAACACTAAGTGTGTGGGAGTTTGTTACAACAGCAGTAAGAAGCTGATACAGCCTGGGGGTCTTCCTTTGGCAGTTTTAGCTGACAAAATTAAGGAGGAAATAACATGATCAGATTGGTTTTAGAAGATAAAATGATGGAGCTGCCACTTGGGGAGAATCCACCCCAGATAAGCATAGTTCTATGCCCATTTCATCTCCTAGTCAAGACTGACATCTGATGTTGTCTTATGTGGTGCAAATCCCACTTCCAGTCTCTCTGATCAGCTTCCTCAGCCTCTACCCTTCCCAATTGCCATGTCCCACTGGCTTATCTTTCCTGTGTTGGACACTTGGAAAAGAGTAGACCAGGTATATGCTTAACAGCTGAGATTGTGGTGTCACAGGCTAGGCCCAATTCCAGCCTCACAGTTGTTGGATTATTTTCCAGAGTTTTGTTTCTTTACATCCTCACTAATCCTTTGTATCTTCAGATGTTTTAATTGTTGTCAATTGAATAGATATTAAATATCTTACTTTTTTTTTTTTTTTTGAGACGGAGTTTCACTCTTGTTGCCCAGGCTGGAGTGCAATGGTGCAATCTCAGTTCACCACAACCTCCGCCTCCTGGGTTCAAACAATTCTCCTGCCTTAGCCTCCCAAGTAGCTGGGATTACAGGCACTTGCCACCATGCCTGGCTATATCTTCCTCTTTTAATTAGCATTTCCTTGGCTAGTGAGTTTGAGGATTTTCTACCCATACTTTGGCCACTTGAGCTTCTCTAAAAATTGTATTCTTA